CCGCTGGCTGCTGGGCTGCAGTGGATGCCAAAGCTCAAGACAGCTGTTCACAGCAGCTGGGCTCCGGCAGCTGTGGTGACTGAGGCACGGCAGGAGGTAGCGGAGCAGTAGGCATCTCCCTCCCTTCTCTGTGATTGGGAAAAGAGGGGGTGCGTGCACTGCCAGTGGCCACTCTCCCTACCTGCATGGCCGCTTTTGACGGCGGCAACAATAGGGTTTAGGTTGCGGCAGGAGGAGGAGATGTCTCTCTCCCTTCTTGGTGATGGCTGCCAGCTGGAGCTCCATGCTCTCCCCACGCAGCTGCTTTGGCCAGAGGCCCCACTGAGGCAGCAGCAGGAGGAAGCAGAAAAGGTGGCATCTCCCTTCCTGCTCCCCCCCCTCAGTATTGGCCGCCAGCCAGGGCTCCATGCTCTGCCCCCTCGGCCGCTTTTGCGGTGCCTCCCTCCCTGGTAATGGCAGCCTGGCTGGAGCACCGTGCTAGCTCTCCCACCCACGGGTCTGCAAGAAGTGCTTGGGGAGGGCGGGGGTGCGAAGGATGAGTGCATGTGCGCGCTGCCAACAGCCATTCCCCCTTTCCGCAGAGCAGTAACAGCCACGCTCCCTAGAGGGGCAGCCTCGCTCTGGGCAGTGTGGGGTGGGGCGAGGGCAAAGGGGTGTTGGGTGAGGGCTGGTGGGGTGATGGGTCAAGTGTTGGCGTGGGCTGCAGGGGTCAGATGTTAAAGGGTCAAAGGGCATGGGGTGTAGGGATGAGGTGGACAAAGCGTGTTAGGCAATAGGGAGCAAGGCGCTGAGTTGGGAAGTGTCCAGTGTCCACTTTCACTTTTGAAAAAGCGAAGGAGATATGCAAATTAGCACCAAATTTGCATATCTCCTTTTGGAAGGAAACCTGTAGTTTAGACATGCCTTTCATGAGTGAAAGATACCAGTTCTGATGAAACAGTGGTGGCTGGAGCAGCTCCCTGCCTGCCACAGGGAGGCAGTTACCCAGTTAACAAGTTAAAAATTATGTTTAACCTATTAGTGAATTAAATGGGATTTTACAATCCTAGTCACTATTGCAGCTAAGTTTTCCAAGTTGTTTTTCTTAGTGGGTGAGCAGTTTTGTAGCCTTACAAAAAAAAAAAAATATTGTGATTTTTCATCCAGCAATGTTTGTACAGTGCCTTTGTGGTTTCTATGGAAGAGTGCCATAGAAAGCTTGTAAAGGAGCCAACAGAGGGGAGAAAATAAAAGCAGCTCCAAATGATCTGATATCTCACTGCCCCTTTTTAAATAAATCTGCAGTTGTGTAGGCAGGAACATTTATGGCTCTTTTCTAGTCTATCTGAAATATGGCATGTGTTTGTGTGTGGCGGGGGAGGAGGGAGGGAATACTGTGTATAATAATTGTAGTTGCAGACTGTGCTGCCTCTGTAAAAGGCCTTTCTCAGACAGCCAGAGGTGTAAATGGCCATGTTTTTGAAGTTTCGGAGCCAGTTTCAGCCACTTGTTCTCTTGGTTGTTTTGCAGTTCAGTCCTGTGGGGGTCGTTTGAATTCGAAGGAGGCTGGTTACATCACTTCACCTGGATACCCACAGGACTACCCCTCCCACCAGAACTGTGAGTGGATCATTTACGCCCCGGAAGCAAATCAGAAGATTATCCTCAACTTCAACCCTCACTTTGAAATTGAAAAACATGACTGCAAGTACGAGCCTCCCTCCTCTTCTTCTTTACTAGATAAGCTGCTCTTCTTCCTCTCTTAATCTAGTAACATGAGGACCAATCATTCCCAGAAACAGGAAACTGAGTGGCGGTTCCTGTCTCCTAAGCATACCTCATTATATCACCGTCCTTCAAAGTAAGCAGGTGTCTGGCTTACCTTGTAGCAGGCTGTTGTGTGACTCCGTCACACGCAAAGGGAAAGTGAATTCCAGCCTCCGGTATCTGATACATAGTGCTCCTTGGCTCATGGGAAGTATTAGTTTGGTTTCCTGTCCTGCTGCTGATTCTGCTGCACTTGGTGAATTGTGATTTTTAAGGAGAGATCAGGAAGCAGGATATCCAGGAAAATCAATTAGCAGCTAGTAAATAATTAACAGCATCAGTGGGCACCATGGAAGGCTGAATTAATGATGTGTCTCTGTGGATGTATAATCCAGTACATACCCTGGGGAGCCCATGACCAACTATTGGGATGTTTGAAATGTGGAAAAGTTTAGGGTCTCCTAAAATGGGCTGAGTTTTTTCACACACAGATTCCCTTTGATTTATGAAAGTATCCACATATGAGACTATAGCAGGGGTGGGCAATACAGCCTTTCTCCGACTTACGAACTGGTTACGGACCAAGCAATTGGTCGTAACTTGGTTTGTTTGTAAGTCGGACCCCATTGAGTTACACGCGACCGCGCTGTTCATAAGCGTGGATCGCGTTTGTAACTCGGGGTCCGCCATTTACGATAGTTTCGGTTGTAACTGCGAACGGTCGTAAGTTAACCATTCACAACTCGGGGACCGGCTGTATGTTTGATGGGGGGCCACTCCAAGAATTTGGAAAATGGTTGAGGACCGCACTCTTCCATGATATTAATGAAGGAGGTGCAGAGTTTGGGATGGAGGTAGGAGCAGAAGGGAGCTTGGGGCAAGAGAGGGAGTTTAGGTGAAGGAGGCAGTTGTGATCTGGGGCACTGGATTGGGATGCAGGGGGTTGGATTGTGACCTAGGGCAGGAAATTGGGATACAGGGATTTGGGTTGTGAGCTAGGGCAGGAGGGGACTGTGATCTGGGGCAGAGGATTGGGGTGCTGGATCCGGGAGGGTACATGGATATAGGAGGGGGCAGAGGATTTGGGTATGTGGCGAAGGGGGTAGGAGTGGGGGGCAGAGGGTTGGGGAAGAGAGAGCCTGGGGTGCCAGAGGTTGGCTCTGCCAGGAGACTTACCAGCCAGAAGAGGTTCCTGAATCAGCCTCCCTGCCTGCCTCGCTCAGCACAGGCTAGAGCCCCTTGTGCTTGTGGCTACCTGTTATTGAAACGGGCAGCTCTTATTGGCCAGTTTCTGGCAAGAAAACAGCCAATGGGATTGTGCTGGAGACAGGAGCAGCTCCTAACGCTTTCCCCACCCCCATCCGGACTCACAGTTTTTAAAGAAAGACCGGCC